GCCATGAAGAGACCTTGGTATATTCCCTGCTCTACATTGACTTATGGTATAAGTTTTACCAATATAGTAAATTATTTATTAGGGGAATTTTACACTTGAAGAACTTGTTCTGTTTCCCCCAGGGGAATAAGTAATACTAATATAAATGCTAGGCTTGTATGACAGGATGCACACTAGGTAGTTTTGCCTCTTTTGATGGCATTGATCTGGACAGTGGTAAAATGTCTTCTGATGCAGAGGAGATGTTTGAGATCATCACCTCCTGTCTAATTCATATCAAAAGTAATTTTAACAAAATCTAGATTTTTTTTTTTTTTGCTCTCAGAAGCTTTGCAAACAAATTGTTGACAATTTGTTTAAATATGTGGTCAAATGTGTCTTCATGTTTGCATAAAAATATGTAACTTGCATATATGTAAACTTTCACATGTTCAACTTCATAAGTTGGCCTTCAAAGATAAAGAAATTTAAAAGCACAAGTTACTATAATTTGGGCTTTCATTTCCCTTATCTTTAATTCTTTCACTTTGTAATTCTCATTGAATTCTGAAATTGGGCTTGAGAATTTAATTTTCATTGAAAATTTTGAAATCCTACCATCTATGTAGAAAAGTGATCAGTGCTAGAAAAACAGATGGAAATAAATTTAAGGATTTTAAAATTATGCAGACTATGTATAAAAAAAATACACATTAATTATGTGCTGATTCATGACAGCATTTCACTACATTATTGACCTTTATGTATTTATTTAGGTCAAATAATACTCTGAACTGCACTTGGTGTATTTTTTAATTTTCCTGTTTAAAAATCAATTGACAATAAGTACTTCAATAAGTATTTAAATGCTACTCTAAATAAGCAAGCAGGCATGCTAGTGAATTGAGCCTACTCTCATAAGATTACCAGGTCTGTCTGCATCTCAGCTCGTTTGTGCTGTCGATCTTCATCCTCAGAGTCTTGGTGGAAAAGGATGGCAGTGGAGGAGTCTCTGGTCAGAACGTGTCCCATCTGTGCCTGGAGGGGTTTGCCACAGTTCCCACAGGGAGCTAACCCTGTGTGCAGAGCTTGGCAGAGGTTCTGCTTGCTTGTGACCCAGGCTGCAGCTGCTCTATACTACATCTGGCTGGATTTTTGACATGTTTGCTGGCTTAATCTAGACTTTTTGCAAACACCATGAAATCCAGGCATCCACAAACTCACCCTGCAAAGTTACAGTTACAAGTACCGCAACACTTGTTTGTTATGGTGAAAGCTAAATGAAAAAAAGATTTCTTAAAAACTTATTTCAGAAGGGGCTTTTTGTAGGTTTTATACAAAACCTGATCTCAAATGTATCAATTTTCATCACATTAAATATTTAAACCACAGTTTTGCTCACTTTAGGTGTACAAATGTGCAAAAGCAAATGTTGCCACTTTATCATCATTTGTGCATTAGCTGTGTGTCCAGTGACTTAGACCTGGTCTTGGTTGTAGATGGTTTTAGATTTTCTGAACCCATGTGCATATCCATATAAACATTGCATAAATTTTTAATTGAAAAGCTGTGTGACTTCAGACCGAGATCTGAGGTAGGGCTACTTCTGGAGGAAGGTTTTTGTCTTGCTAGTGACTCAGTCCAGCACCTTATTCCAAACAAACCTCTTGGCAAAAGAGACCTCTGCACAATCTTCTTCCTTCCTTTTGTTCTCTGAGGGGGAGGAACCCCAGGTTGGAGTTTCATTTAGGTTTCACTATAATATGTCATATGAATAGGTAGCTGGGGTCCATGGTCTAGCTAGATCAGACTTGAAAACTGGGACAGTGTAATCTGAAACAAAAAAATAGAGAAAATGGGGTGCCTAGAGATTGGTAATCAGAAAGTGCAACACTGCTTATTAAAGGTGCAACAATTACTACAATAAGTTAAGGAGCATTTGCCTATGCATCTTTTGCCTTTCTCTGTGTTTTTCAGTTCTCTTTACATCTTTTCTTTGTACCTTCTTTTGTCCAGTGATGTTGACTATTTCTGTGGAGAATCTGCTGGTGTGTCTTACTGTGACAAAGGTGTCAAAATGCTACAATAGTAATTAGGTAGTTACTCTTAAATCCCAGACCTCAGATGTGTTCTAGATCAGTTAGAAGAGAACATTCAAAATGTATTGGATGAAAAATAGTGTAAGATGGGTAATATAGCATTATTCAAAGATGTTGTAATAAGTTATTCGATTTAAGAATTTAAAATATGGAACTTTATTCTTTCCTGCCTTGGTTACACATTCAAAGGAATAGTTTTACCTCAATGCAGAAGTAGTTATGCCTCCAACCACCCGTATGTTAAGGTGAGAGAACACCCCTAAAAGTGGATAGCTACAGTATTCCTAAATTTGCCTTTCCTGGTTCAGATTATAATACATTGTCAGTGAATTTCATTTTTATTATTCCAAAATATATATTTTTTAAAAAGTGTTATTTTTCAACAGATCCATAAACTAAGTGTTGGTGTATGGTAAAATTAAAATACCACTGTTAGTTACACTGTGATTGTGATATTTTAATAATTACTTATTTCTAATTTGTCTCAGCAGTGCTGCAGAAGCAGCATGCTGTTATGTTTTAAAGGTGTTTTTAACTTGCCTATAAATGTTCTTTTCTAATTTGTGTCTTTAAATCTGATTAAACTGTAGTTTAAAAAAAAGTGAACTTGTTTTTCTAATTTCTGTACTGTCTTTAATGAGTGGTGAAGAACAAAATTATTTTAATGCAGTTTCTCCTTTTCGATTGCTAAATATACATTGCATGCATTTACACTGTTATTTAGAGTGTTCTAGTTCAAAATTGCATTTATTTAGATTGCTTTCTAGAGCTTATATACAAGTATATGTATATAATTATTTTTCAGTAGAGCTAGTAAACAGAATTTTGAGTCTAGCCTCTTGTTACTTGGGAAAGGTGCTTAAGCAATTTAAACCCTCCATCTCAGAGCACATTGCTACCTGATGAGCACTGCTTCTGGATGTGACAACTGTGGTGTTTTTAGTTTGAGAAATGGAAACCTCATAACTGAGAAATCAAATTTGGTGCTTTGAAGAAGGTGTTGCTTTAATTGCTGGCTCCAAAGAACCAGGGCTAAATGTGTACCATACTTGCTTTTTTTTTTTTAATTTGTTTTTTGTTTTGTTTTATTTTGTTTTGTTTTTGCAACTCAGCTACCAGGACTCTGATAAGGCAGTTTCTGTTGGCTGGTGACAGTATGTCAAAGCTGGCTGAGATCCTGAGCCTGCAGGTTTTTATTGTGTGAGCTTAGATTGTTGGAGAATGTAAGAGATATTAGGTGTCACTACTAAAGAGGGGCTATTTCCATCACTTCCTATCTCACTCTGAATAATTTTCTCTTTGTGTTTTGAATGCTCTTTCAGCAAGCAGTATCACAGGAGATGAAAATACTTGCCATTCCAACACAAAGGACTACAGATAGAATTTTAGGTCTGGTGTTATTTTAACCAGAAGTTAGTCTGCAATGGAAATTGCCTTCTCAAATACACATTCACAACAGAGTCAGTCAGGAGTATGAAGTGTCCTCATGAACTAAACATTGCTGCATTTAGTGAAAAACTAATTTGAAGAGAATAAAACACAGCTTTCTGCTATTAAGTTAAATTGTTAAGTTGCTGCACAGAAGGAGTCATAATTGAGAACATTCTGGACCCAGCAGATGTTTTTTTGTGCCTGTAACTACTTTAGTTCTATTTCAGTAATTCCTGATAACATGCAGGATGTTTCAGTATAGAATACAGAAGTAGTTCTAGGGGGAGATTCTTCAACCTAATTACTAGGTGAGAGTTGGAGATCTGTCCAGAGTTTGGCAACCACAGCTCTTCCTAAGGTGGTCATATATAGAAGCAAAGGAGTTATTTCTCCATGGAGGCTGCATATGATCTTTCCAAACTGAATAAGTAACCATTGCACCATGTTTCACTGCCTATGTGAATTAGTCACTGGTGGGAAAGTGTTGCTCCTAATCCAAGCATAGGGTAAAATTTAGAAGAGCACAAGGATGTCAGAAGCTGGATCCATCTCTAGCAAAAGTGGGTGATTGTGAATATGGAGGCAGAAAAGGTAGTTTTCTGTAAGGTCCTTCACTGTGTTTGGACAGTTCTTTTTATGCAGGAGGGAAGGAGCTACTGTTTCTCTCTGAAATTTGTAACTACATGGTGAGAACACAGCTAACACTTGATGGGTGGGAACACTATGATATGGGGAATGAGGATTTGGGTGGTGGGAGATTATGAAGTGAGATACTAAACCACAGAAACATAAAATGTTTTGAGTTGGAAGAGACCCATTGGAATTATCAAATTCAAGTCCTGGCTAGACAGCCCCAAGAGTCACACCATGGGCCTGAGAGCATTGCCCAAACACTTCTTGAACTCTGTCAGCCTTGGTGCTGACAACTTCCCTGGAGAGTTGGTTCCAGTGCCAACCACCCTCTGGGTGAAGAACCTTTTTCTAACGTTCAGCCTCAACCTCCCGACTCAGCTTCATGCTTTCCCTCAGGTCCTGTGACTGTCACCAAGAGAAGAGATCAGTGCCTGCTCCTCCTCTTTCCCACATGAGGCAGCTGTAACTGAATGAGGCCTCTCCTCACTCTTCTCCAGACTGAACACGGCAAGTGACCTCAGCCACTCCTCGCATTTCCTCGGCTCAAGGCCCTTCAGAACCCTCGTTGCCCTCCTTTGGACGCTCTCTAGCAGCTCAATGTCTTTCTTATACCGTGGTGCCCAAAACTGCCCCCAGGGCTCAAGGCGAGGTCCCTTTCCGCGGCGCTGCTTTGCAGCCTCTCGTTCCCCAGTCCGTCCGTACATCAAGCACCAATTTCTCATACCCTTTCCCCCCTTCTTTTCTATCAGAAAGCACCCGGGGGGGGATGCTGGTGGCTCTCCAGGGCGGTGCCACCCTCTGGGCTGCCCTGCGCTGCGCTCCGGCTCAGCCGGGCCCGCTCTGGGCCGCTGTGCCCGGCCGGCGGTGCGGAGTGCCGAGGCGGAAGATGGCGGGCGCCGCCGGGCCCAGCTGAGCAGCGCTCGCCGTCGCCGCCTCGCTCCGTGTCAGGCTCCTGCTGGGCCCGGGCAGCCGCCGCAGGGGCCGCGTCCGCCCGGCCGTGGGGTAGGTAGCGGCAGGAAGGCGGGGGACACGGGCCGGCCGCGGAAGGGCAGGGGAAGGGCACGGGCTGTGGGGGAGGCGGCGCTCCCGCTGCCAAACAAAGGGCGCCGCGGGGCCGCTCCGGCGGGGCCCGGCGGAGCGCTGCGCTCGGGCCGCCGTGGCTCGCGGGCCCGCTCCCCTCATGCCCCGGCCCCCTCAGTGCAGGGCCGCGGGTCGGGAGCGGCGGCGCGCCCGCTCCGCTCTGCCCTGCCCTGCGTATCCCGGGGCTACGACCGGGCTCGCTGTGCGGTGTCGGGGGCACCGCCCCGTGGGTGAAGCGTTCCGCAGGTGCCGCGGGCACGGCCTGGCGTCCGTGTCCCCCCTGTCCCGGGGGTGGAGGAGCCTCTTGTACCGTGTTTCTCTCTCGCTGGCTTGGAAAGGTAGATAAGGGTTCGACTCGTCAGGAAAGTTTTTGACATTTAGTTTCTAAGGTAAAGAATGACAGAAGGACTGAGGGTGGGAGGGACCTCCCCTGGTCAGAGGGTCCAGTCCTTCTCGAATGGGGACAGCAAGAGTGGCTCTCCGGACCGTGCCCGGAGGGCTTTGGTGTGGCAGTGCTGGGTCGCCCCCAGTAACAAAGTGTTTCCTGATGTTCGGTCAGAGACTCCTTTGAATGCAGAGGAGGGCAGCGAAGCTGGTGAGGGGCACAAGTCCTGTGAGGAGAGGCCGAGGGAGTGCGGGGGGTGTTTATCCTGGAAGAGAAGGAGGCTCGGGGGTGACCTTACCACTCTCTATAAACGCATGAAAGGAGGCTGTAGCCAAGGGGGGATCAGCCTCTTCTCCCAGGTAACAAGTGGTAGGATGAGAGAATGTAGCCTCAAGCTGTGTAGGAGGACGTTTGGGTTGGATATTGGGAAGAATTTCTTCTCAGAAAGAGTGGTTAGACATTGCAATGGACTGCCCAGGGGGATGCTGGAGTCTGCTGGATGCTGCTCCACTGACCCTGGAGGTGGTTAAGGCAAGACCACTTAGTGCCATGGTCTAGGTGACAAAGTGGTGTTCAATCGCAGGTTAGACTCAATGATTTCTCAGAGGTCTTTTCCAGCTTAATTGATTCTGTGTTTCAGTTTCTGCCCATTGCTTTAGGTCCTGCCACAGGATATCACAGTCTTAAAGGTAGTGGGGGCTTCCACTTCACATATATGCTTAAAATTCGGTTACCTCTCGATAACTTTTGGTAAAGGATTAATGATGGAATAATGTAGTAACATGTCTTTTGCTTGAAAAGTGTTTAAATTGTTACCTGATTAATTACCTGCCACTCCTTCCCCCCATCAAGTAGTAAAGACATGCACAGAAAAACAGAAGATATTTTTCTGAGATCAGAACATTTAAGAAAACCCATCTTTTTGTCTACTAGATAGCCATCTATTCTTTGTTCTGCCACAGTGTTTATTTAAAAGAAATTGGTTATTCAGAAATTAATATCTGCTTGAAATTCTGTGTGACCACAGCTTATGAAATGGTGCCATATTAGTTTGAAGTTCCACATCACAGCATTCACTCTTTTTAAGTGGAAACACTCCAAAAGTTAGATTTTTTTTTTGGTAGTGTAACTTGTGTCTGTTACACGTACCCTTGGATTTATGATACAGAGAAACGTGTTGGCCATATGAGACTGTGTAAGATGACATTGCAGACTTTCTTATGCTTTTTGTGTATTTTATACAGGTTTAGACAATTGATTTGTGTTGGTTGGCTTAATTTTAAGAAACCCCTTAATATTGGTAACTTTCTGTTTACTTTCTTTTATCTGATGTATTTAAAACCTGAAATAATGTTTTGTAGGACTGAGCACCTTGTATTTTGTTTAAGAATTGAATTTTGTCTTGGAATTCAGATGTTCTTAGCAATATGTTACTGTTCATTGACCATATTTAAATTTTGTCTCAAAGGTGGACAGATTCCTCTGATAAAGTATAAATCTGTTGTCAGCTACTTCACACATTATTTTAACTGATTTTCTTAATCAGGGTGGAACATAGGCATGTCTGATAGTTGCTATCATCTGACAACCAGCCCTGCATTTTAAATGTAGATTTACATTTTTCTAGTCTTTTATGTGTAATCCCCAGCCTCTTTTGTTTTATTAAAACTAACAAAAAAATCCATCACTGCAATATCTGGAAATGGCCGTTGCCTTGAGTGCATAAGGTAGAAAAGAAGGACTTTTGTATTTCCAATTTCTCCTACTTCTTACTGTATGCAGTTTTGATGGTTACAGTAGAGACCTCCTTTTATGCAAATTTTTAAAAGTTATATTAGTTTCAGGTTTCAAAAGAAGAATGTCTGTCTAGCTGTAGTTTCTGTGTCTTTTGATATTTTAGAGTTACACAATTTTGTTCTTTGTGATAAAGTAACAAAAAATAAGGTCATTTAAAAAAAGTCTTCTCACCTGGATAACAGAAATGTGGTTAAGAGAAGTAGAATAAATGTTCCCAGATATATAGGGAAAAGCAGAAATGCAGCATAAGGTCATTAGTCACACTGGAATTTCTGACACTGGAGGAGAAGTGTGGGTGTAGACTACTTATGGAAACTTAGATTTGTTATTTCTCTCTGACTCTGGACACCAGCAATTAATATTTTTAGAGACTCATTTCAGCTGTTCTGAAAATTTCTTCTTTAAACAGAATCCTGGTTGACTCAGTCCCAATAGAAAGAATATTTTAAAATATTTGCCACTTTGTGTGATGCATGACTTTTGATCTCTTCATGTTTAGGAGGTATTACAATATCAGTTTAGGAAGGTATTACAATGAGGTGTCGTAAAGGCTTGTGTGAGTGGATGCTGTGTGCTGTAAGTACAGGTGATGTTTCAGCATGGTATTAATTCCTTTATACCATCATAAAGCATAAAAATGTGTGAGAAAATGAAACTGGCTTATGCTAGTTTTTTATAATAAATTTAATGTGTACAATTCTTACGTTTTACTTTTTTTTTAAATTTTAATTTGAAAAGATGGCATTTCCAGTTCTTAAGGGTGAAATGCTGTGCATTCACACATTGGAGTTGTACGTGCTCAGATTTCAGCAGCATAGTAATTATTTCCTTTTATAGTTAGCTGAAAGATCTGCCACAGTGTTGCATGTTGGGAAGGTGGCTTTTGTGTCTGGAAAAGGAAGGAGGAATTAAAAAGTAGACAACAGTTTTTTCATTGTACAATAAAAAAGTACGAATTTAATGTCATTACTATCTTGACTTTTTCTTTTGTTTTCAGTAGGTATTCTCAATAATGCTAGAGTTGTTGACCAGTTTTGACATTTATTCATAAAAGATCACTGTTTGCACAATTAAAAAAAAACATGCAGAAGATCTATGAAAAATTGTGATAGTTGGGAAATTTAGTGAGTAATATTTCTTATATGGTTAGGAACTGCTAAGAGGTTCTGAGAATACGTAAAATACCTGCAGATTTGAGTTGTCAGGACCTCTGCTGGCAATATTGGTGCTGTTGAGAGAAACTATTTTTTTTAAATTGACAAATTCTTGCAGTCTTTCCAAAACTGTGATAATGTTTGTCTGCTTCAGCTCAGGATGCAAGAGCCTTACAAAAACAGGTTAATCCTGTGCAAACATTGCCTTCACCTGAGCATTTGTGCACTTCATATGATTTCATAGTTCTTGGTGTGTTGTTAGTTTTGTAAAGTACCAGGATTTGCTGCGCAAGGGCATGGTGAGATTTTCAAGCTTGAAAGTTTGGATTGTGGATGAAGAGCAGGTTTTTGCACTGGAAATTAGCTCACTTAGGTGGGAGAGAAAAATAACAGCATTTATCCTTATTGGAAAGGGGATTGGTTTCCAAATAGAATCCTGGTTTTAACTTAAATTTTTGTTATAGGTTGTGAAAATACTTCTGCTGTGTCAAAGAAAGTAAATGTGTGAATTGAGCAATTAAGGACCATTTATGTATAGGATGTTCTTGAATGATACTGGTTTTGCACTGTATTTCTGAAGTTTGTCAGGGATTAAGTTCTCATCCTTTAGTTTGGTCAAGAGTAAGCCTTAGTTTTCTTTTTATTCTGGGGTTGTTTGGAAACTGTATCAATATATATTTCAGGAGCTTTTTTCATTACAGGGACCAGAGTAGAATTACTTCTCTAGCCAGAGACTGTTCCTCAGAGACTTGCTTCAGATTTTATGATTACTTAAAAGAAATCTGAAGCGTTGGAAGAAAAGCACTCCTGTGAACTTTGAGTACAATGCCTAATTTTCATAACATAGTAAGGTACATTTTGTTTAATGAAAAGGTGGACTGTGACTGTATTCAGCTGATGTTGAGTTGCTGTCATGAGTGTATCATGAACAGACCCAGTCAGGCTTATTTCAGGCATGTTCTTTGTTCTCGGTGGGGAAGAAAGCAAAGTTTCCACTAACCTTAATACTACCATTTTTAAATGTAACTTTGTTTCTGGAATGGTGGGGAGAATTTTGTTTGTTTGGTGGTGCTTGTTGTCCCTAAACTGTGCTTTCCTAATGCCCTCCAGTGATGTTAATCTTTAGGATGCTCTAAGAAGCTTGCCTGAAAAAGGGCAAATAAAAGCATGAGTGTTTAAAATGCATAATTACAGTATTTGATCTTGTGATTCTTGTTTTTATCAAATAGACTGTTACTCATTCTAAGAAGGGGATGTTTTGTGACAGTGAATCATAGGGGACAAGAAATATTAATATTTTTGGACCTGTTGCACTGGTACAAATCTTTTATTATTTATAAAGGTAATATTAACATGGAGTTTATAAACACATCTCTGGATGTGTTCACTGACATCAGGTGTTTTGCTGTTAGTCAGAGGTTTAAGCTGTCCCTAAGGATTCAGCTCTGCATGGAAGCAGAAGCTGCAGTTCCCAGCTGGGATTTCTGAAGCAGGATGCTTATCTACAGTGCAGCAGGGCTGCCTCTGCCTTTTGGAAATATGCCCATAGGGAACATCAAGGGAAGAATCTTACTTTGAGGAAAAAGCAATGCTGAATACTTTCTTTCTTTTCACACTAGCGAAGAATTAATTGGTGAAGTTTGGATAGCAACTGCAGAGTGTAAATCATTTGGTGAGACATTTTTAGTCATGCTTTGGGGATTTTCTTAATACAATTTTCAAATTTAATATTTGGTATGGAAAATAGCATGGGGATTGAAGGTAAAACTACAGGAGAGAAGCTAGGAGATAACACAGGAAAAGCAAAAAATGCCTGTGGTGGCAGTGGAGCTAGCAGCAAACCACATTTCATGGATTTCTGTTGTCATATGTAAAAATAATGGGAGGAATACAGGTGTATGTGAATATCTATTGTAATTTTAGGTGCCTGAGAATGTCTGAGACACCTGCATAAGGCTGTAAGATGTTGCTGTAGGCTGTAAGGGAGGTGGGCTGTCCTGGGCTGGCAGCTGGATGCCAGGCAAGATGCTAACTTTCCTGGTATTTTTAGTGTCTGAAATGGCAGTAGGAGCCAGTGTGTCCACCCTGAGTCAGTAAAATTGCCATTTCTTTTCAAACCTTTCGTATTTTGTGTGGATTAGTGGGTTTTCTGTTTTTAAGTTTGCAACCTCTCAATTGGCTCTTCCTCCTACTGAAAAAAATGGAGACAAAAATAATAGCACCACAGTTGTGCTGCTCACCCCCTTTGATGGTAATTTAACTGTATGGTAAATGTGGCAGACCTTTTGTGTTCTTAGTTTATTTATAGCTTTGCTGTGGGACAGACTGGCTGCTTGGGCAGTGCCTAGGAAAACTGCAGCTGGGCTTTATGTATCAAATCTATACTGGTTTTAGGTGTGGGTTTTAAACAATGTCTGTAGTTTCTTTTGTCATTGGGCATTCATGTGCACTTGAATTTCATTTGCATGTACAGAGAGCTGCTGTCATCTTAACTGGGATATTAACTGGCCTTATTTTGAACAAGGCCTTTCTGTATATGAGTCATCTGATGGCTGCAGTGCTGTAGGTGAGCTCAGGTAGTATCTAACATACCTTCACAACAGTGTGTATGACTATATATCCTTACTTGGTGAAGGAGAAGGGATGGTGTTGCAGACTATGTAAGCAGTTTAAGGTAGAGCTGGATTATTTGATTTAAATCTTCAAATCTAAACTTACTTCTCTGTGCTAAGCACATGGAAGTTCTTGCTGGCTTCCTCTCATCTCTTTTTTCCCACTTCAGTTGGAAGCACAGAAAAATTCATTGTCTGCTTTGATTTGAAAATAAAAGTAAGAATATTTTCCTGGGAATCCACTAGTCTTTGGCTTCTCCCTGGGAGAGAATAGCCTAAGCAGTGGGCTTTAGCTAACACTAAACTGGAGGTTTTCCTCTGCTGTTACAAGAAAAAGGCAGAGTGCATGATCGTGTCAGCCACTGGTGAGGAGAAAGGTATGTAAGGATGGTGGAGCCCCATGACCTCTTCTGCCTCCAGTGAAACTTAAATTTTGACTCAGCTTCTGTCCCTGTGTGTGTGTAAATTTGGCACGGTAGTACTACTGGTGCTGTGAACTTATTGGGCACAGCTTTTTAGGAAGTCTGAAATGGTTCTTAGTGGTCTGCCTTAAGAAAGAAAAACCTTTGCTGTCTTGCATATTAGAAGTTAAAAACACAATCAGTTAACAGAAGCAATGTTACATTTGACTCTTGAGTTAACAACGTGCCATCACATGCAGTCATGTCTGCATAAAGTTGGTGATAACTGATTAGTAAGTCGTGTTTCTCAGAGTTCCATATGGCTGCAGATTAGATAGCATCACTGTATTTTGTAATGCTGATTAGTCTCAATGCTCTGCTTACACACATCAAGGATAAGGATTATATTTAAATAGTATATATAAAGTATGTAGCATAAACAGATATTCCTATAATGTTGTATATATTTATGTGCATTCCATTCAAAATATTTATTTAGACAGCACAAAACAGGTAGAATAATTTCTGTAATTTTCTAAGAATTAGAGAGAGTTAAGAGTTTTCATGGAAACGTAGTGCCTTTTAATGCACATCTCCAAAGTGTTTTGTTGAAGAGAATGGCAGGTGTTTGTACCCAGCCAATAACTTATTAGCATATGCAATTCCTGCTTTCTAATGTCAAATGTCATAGCTGTTACTTATGCTTTGTTGTTTTTTCTCTTTCCTGAAATACAGGCAAGCTTTGTTATCTAGAAGCCCTTTAAATAGTGTGTGAAGATGGCGAGTCTGATGAGTCAGAGTCTGTTGACCTACGTAGAAGAAGGAAATGTTCCTGCTCTGAAAGCACTTCTTGAGAAATGCAGGGATGTTGATGAGAGAAATGAGGTAAGATGATTTTTGAAAAGGTCCGTTTCACATTGCTGTTTATTAACTATAGAATGAATAATCAGTGAGATCACACTGGTTATTTAATATACAAATTTCAGTTTTGTTTTGAAGTGATTGCTTACCTATGCATAACCTGAACACTGCGTGTTTAGTCTCTGACAGCTCCTCAAGCATCTTTCATAGTATCTGCTTTCTAGAGTGTTCTGAGCTGGAAAATGCAGTCTATCCTTACTTTGTGAATGGAGTTCATACCTGTATTTCTCTGGCTAAGAATTGTTTCTTAGCTCACAGATCCAGCTGCATATGCCCTGTTCATGTTGTGGTGAAACCTGGTATGATGATAACCCTTGCCTCACATCATGGTTTTCAGTCAAGAGATACTTTGTTATACAATCTAAATTAAGAACTTGTATTGCAACTTAGATGAGCATATGCTCATCTAGATGAAAAAAATAGGTATCCAAGAAGCAAGTCTAGAGTTTACCAGGAGTACACAAAATTTGTGATACACAATAGGGAGTATATATGGCAGTTATTCAGAATCTGTTTTTTTGATAATATTTCAAATCTGCATAAGATGGAAAGAATATTTTTTTGGAAAGAAGTCCAATAGTGTATGTTACTCAAACCCAAAAAGCATCATGCAAGTGTGAAAACAATGTACAGAATTTAGCCTTACTGTCATTGTTAGATCTGGTTTCAGTTAAGACAGTTTTCTTTCATTGTTGGCACATTCGTTCCATGCTGTGTGTGCACATACGCTGAGGCATTTCAGATGGGAGAAATTTTAAGATTCAGAGCATACACATGAACCTCACCACCTGGCATGTAGCATATCTGAGAAGGGGAATGTCTGTTTCCTCTGCTGGCAGTTCCTTTCAGCAACATGGCCGAAATCAGACAGATCGTATTGATTTTATCAAGTGTCACTGCCTTCACCTTCTTTTCTAAATTTTTCTTCACTTTTTGGTGGGACTAAATGTAGTTCTGGGTTTCATTAGCTGCCTTTTTTGCAGAGATCATTTCCCTGATACCTATTGTTTTCAGTCTTCTTATCTGTTGCATTGGAGGAGGTAATTTCTGCAGTCAGACGTGTGGTTTGCATCAGTTTCAGACCCCTTGCGGGCATGCTCTGTATGTATAATAAGAGGATTTTTGTTTAAATGATAGCTCTTCCTTGGAAATCAGTGGCTTTGAGTGCTGTTTAGTTTCCATTTTTGGACCTGCCAAGACATCTTTTCTTCTTGGGTTAAAGGAACATACCAAAAGGAGAGTGCCTTTGGAGATCTAAAAAGATTGCTGGCAAGCTAAGGTTTGCTAATGCCAGGACCTCCCAGGCTGCAGTGACTTGTGACTTGGTCGGATCACCCACATTGTTACCAACCCTTTTAATCTCCACTGTGGTCAGTTGCCAGAAAAGCTGGGATGTCCCAGTCAGTTTGTGTATGAATAGTTTTATTGCATTAACACCACCAGTTTCAGTTAAGTGGAGCAAGTCTCAGCCTCTCTGCCTTTTCTCTGCACATCCTTCTGCTTGTGAGATTTTTTCTCTCTCATACCAGACACATGAATTAACAACTAATGATAGATGCTTGCTTTGTGTGATGCAGTTTGATCCTAACAGCCTCCACTTTCCCTTGATGTGCCTTTCTTTCTGCTCTTGGTACTGAAGGAGCTTCTGCATGTTTAATTCTGAATTTTCTGTTCTCTCACGGGTTGTGAGACTGCTGACCTGTGAGGTGATGCTACTAATTGGTTTCCTCAAAAAGATGCAGATGTGCTCCTTTATAATTTGGTTATTCCAGCACTTACACTGAGCTGTGATGTACAGATAGACAGTACTTGATGTGTGAGAGAAATATGAGCTTTTAGTTGTTGTGGAGTGTCTAGATTCTTGGACAACTTTTGAGAATTAATCTGGAGGTCACAGATACAATAATTGTCTTTTGTTTCTGTATTGGTGAAATCTTTGTGATGGTTGCTAAAACCTTATAACATTATACTTACATTTGGGAGTCTTCTAACAAAAAGAGAAGGATGTTTTCAGTACCCCTAAAGAAAATTTTACATCTGTTTCAGAAAACTAAAGCCAGTCTGCAGCTGTATGACACTTCTTACAGAAGGGAATAATTTTACCATCCATAGCCTCTTCTTATCCAGACATACTTTTATTTGGAATGTATTATCTTTTTGTGTTACCCACTTGTGGAAGACAATCAGAGTGATAGCAATAGTAACTGTTGAGGTGAGAAGAATGGTCAGGCTAAAATAGGGAGTTTTATCTGTTTTGTCAAAGCACTGCTTGGAAGGAATCCTGGGAAATTACCTAGTCCTGTGTCCTGAGGTGGGTTGGCTGGAGCCAGCTGGAATTGCTTGTGTCTGGTGCAGGACAGTCCCAGCCTCTCTTCACAAAGATTCAGTGCAGTTCCCTCTGGACATCCCAACCAGACACCAGTACTCAGAGCAGTAAGGTTCTGTCTGCCCAGCCTGTCAGTGCCCTCTGCATGGCAGCACAAGCTGCTCTCAGCCCCTCCCAGCTTTGTCCAGGCTGCCAAGGTGCTGCGGGTGCACTCTGTGCCATTGCCCCAGTCCTTCATGAAAGGGTTAAATAGGATCCCACTATTGATTCCCTGCACTAGTGACTGGCCTCCAGCTGGACTTTGTACTGCTGATCCCAGTGCTCTGAGCTCAGCACTGCAGCCACTTTCAGTCCACCTCACTATCCATGTGTCTAGCTTGTTCTTCATTAAGTGTTGTTGTGGGAGACAGTGTTGAAATCCTTGCTAGATATGGCATAAACAATGTCTCAGCTCTGCCTGCACTGACCAGTGATGTTGTCACAGAACGAAGAGTGGTCAGTCAGGATTTCTGTTTTCTCCTCCAAAGAGAGCTGTTCTTTTCTAAAAAGTAGCATCTTATTTTCTCTTGATTTTTTTGAACATTTTAATTCCTTTTTTTTAATGACCAGACCTAAAACTACTTCTTGTTAATACAAAATATAATTTAGGATCTAAAAGCAACGGTGTCCTTTTGAATGTATACAATGTACAGTTATAACATAAACTTACATGAGGGCATAATTTTTCTTTGTGAAAAATTACCTTAAAAATGTAATTACATAAGGAACAGCTGGTGGGCCAGAAAGCATTTTTGAAAGAATCCATACATTTCTGTGATTTTGTGTGTGTAAAGAGCAGAAAGAGTCATCAAGTATCTTTAATAATCGTGTGTTAATAGTTTCAATTATGGAGATTAGTGGTATTACTGGATTGTGATTCTGCATTGATTTTTATTCTTTCCAGGGGAACTGCTGGTATATAGCTCCTAACATGTAGCATTTGCATTATTAAAAAACTAGTTAATTTGAGTTTTCTATATGGTGGAGATTAAAAACAGAAACAAGGTCAGGAAAACTCTTAATTTTTAAACTTGTAATTAATAAATTTACTGTAAAATTTAGCAAGTTTTACTTTTCAGCATACAGAACAATTGCATCTCAGAAATTTGCTGACAAAAAAGTAGGCTGATGGAAGGGTGACAGATTCTAACTGACTTTAAAAATACTTCTGAAGGCAAATAAACCGGATTTTCTTTCTTTCATCTTCCCTGAGATGAGACTGTCTGCTAAGAACCCGTGTTGCAGAGGACAGGAGTGATGTCTGTATTTCCTGGGCTGTGAGATAAAAGTGGGGTATATAACCTGACTATTTTTTGTAAGGTTTTAGCAACTGCTCCTCTGAATCAGTGTGCATGTTTTAATCTCCATTGTGGTTTTTAAGGTAGATATATTTCTTTATTAATTTTTTTACAATGTGAATGAGTTATTCCAAGTTGTAGAGATGTCTTCAGCGAGGAGATCATTCAAAAAGGTACATATTTAATAATGTAACTTTTTTCCTTTTAGTAGCCCTTTTTAATGTCTGAAATGTTAGGGATTTTTTGTGTTTATTTGATAATCTCCCATGGACAGGATATTCTCCATTTTTATTGCAAGTATGCCATGTGGTTTCAACACCACTCCTTACTACTTCTCAGTGGCAATTAAAAATGGAAACAATGTTGCTCTGTAGTTTCTAGGTTTTATTGTGTGGGTATGTGTGTCATTGTCATCATTTCCCAATGCATCTATTTTCCTGTCACTTTGATTTCAGAATGGCCAGACTCCACTTATGTTGGCTGCTGAGCAAGGCAATTTAGAAATTGTCCAGGAGCTTCTCAAGAAGGGAGCTAATTGCAACTTGGAAGATGCAGTAAGTATTAGTGTTTTATGGGATGGCACCTAACAGTGGAAGAACAAGAAATTTCAAGAGGCAGGCAAAGAGAGGGAATTTAGGTTAGTGTTGAGCTCGGGGGGGGAAAAAGCGGGTGGAAAATGATGACATATAAGAGACATTTTATACAAAATTGCTTAGCTCTTGTATTTCTCTGGCCCTCATGAAGAGCAGGGATATTCCTCCGATGCTTTAAACATCTTGATCTCTGCTGCATTTGCTGGTGTTTCTTCTGGGAAATCAGAATAGAGAAATACAGCATCAAAGATGAGGTCCAAGTGATTTTGCTGATCTCAGTGTTGTTGAGGAATGTCAGTGGGTTGAATTTTTATTTGTTTGGTGTTCTTTAATTTGGTTTTGATGTTTTTCCAGTAAATACCTAGAGAGAATTTAGTTTAAAGGTTTATTTCAGAACAGTGGCAGAGGGGTTTCACATTTGTGAATTGTCTTTGTGCCTCAGCAAAAGAGGTTGACTCCAGATGAAAGATGCTCAAAAGGGGTGAATAGAACAGAGATATTGTTAGAAAGTTTTGAAAGATCAGTTTATTCCAGTGAGGAGTGATAACCAGGAAAAGGATATTACTTGTTTTTTTTACTTCTGCACTTAGTTTAAGTGTAGCGGCATGGATATCCAGGAAAGGTCTTCTGTGGAATCTGTCACCTAAAAAATCCAAATCAACCACAACCTACCAACCAACTAAGTGTCTATTGTTATGAGACATTTTATTACAGTTGCAGTAAATGCCACAATTTCTATACTTCTAGGAAGAACAGCTACCTTATGAACTGTTGCTATATTTTACAAGTGTGTAGCATATAAAAAATCAATCCACACCTGGATGAGCTTTGAGCAGTGAGAGGGAAATAAGCATAATGCAAAGGGAAATACATCTTCCTGAAGTGATCAGAAGTGTGAAAAGCTGTGGTCTGGATTACCCTGCATATCAGTCCCTTGAGTGCTGTCACACACTATATGTGGAGACTTAGTGCCACTGTTTTCTGTGGTCTTGGTTAGCATCTCGTTCCCTCTCAGCAGTTTTTAATACCTTGACCTCATTTTCTAATCCTTTGTATGTGCTTCCTCCTGCAGTGAACTGAGGAGTGGAAAGGGCTAGATATTGGGTAGGAGAGGACATAACTGGAGGGGAGATTTGGAGTAGTTGCTCTGTATTTCTGTGTGTATGACTGGCATGCTGTGAGTTTATTAGTACTATTCTTATTTTTTAAAAGAACAGCTATTTTAAGGGCTTCTGTATGTATTTCCTGTTGTGGATTGAACATTTGGAAAACGAGGTTACTTGTATTGAAATATTGAATAATACTTTATAACATTTTTTCCTTTTCTTCTAGGATAACTGGACAGCTCTTATTTCAGCAGCTAAAGAAGGACATGCAGCTATTGTAGCAGAGCTACTCAATTATAATGTCAGTTTGGAGCATCGGGATTTGGTATGTGTTGGCTTAGTGTAAAAATAAAATAGAAAAACAGTTCTGTGAGTTGGAGACTTTTACTCTGGGAAAGTGGGCACTACAGTCCAGTCCATCTAAAGAGTTATAAAAGCTGCTGACATGAGTGTGAGGTTAGCTGGCCCTGAAGAGCCATTGACAGAAGATGTCAACTGTCCCCATTGACAGAAGATGGAAGTAGGTATCTGTGAGGACTAATTTTGTTCTGCTTAAGTTAAAATGTGAAAAACCACTAGGGATGAGTTCAAGTGCTTCCTTTCATTGAAGTTGCACTCTGTCTGAAAGCTGAAGCATGTTCACTAACCAAGATGTTTTGGTTAACATTAAGCACATTCGCATGGCCAAGTGCTTGATTTCTAGACCTCTGCCAATCAGAGGGATCTTTCACATCTCCAAAAGTGTATTATTAAGAAATAAATAAAAACTGTGCTTACAGTTATTGGAGGCATACTGTTATTTAAAAATTATATTTGTTTACCTGACCTGTCAAATGCCTTAGGCAGTGAAACCTCATTGTCTCCTAGCTTACAAACTTAAATGAGCACACCAGTGTAGTTTGAAATTAATTGCTCTTATTACTCCCTGATACAAAAATCAAAAGTAAACTTTGCATGTTAATTGATTTCCAATCTAGACTTTGTTTTAAGATATTTATGTGTTTATTGGGTTTTTTTTGTTTTTTTTTTAATCCAGTGGTTGGATTTGTATGCATTTGAAATCTGAATTCAGTGTTCAGCAGCATTAAGAACATGATGTTTTCCCAGGTTTTGCATATAACAGGAAATTGGTACTTCCATGCAGGAGGTTATTATTTATTCTGAATAAATAGGATTACAACATTGTGTGGTCAGTCCTTACTATATTTAGAATTTGCAGAATAGTCTTAGGACAAATACAAAATGAAATAAAAGTCATTAGTTATATTTCTATGTATTTTTCAGTTTTTACAATTCTGTTTGCTAGGGAGGATGGACTGCCCTGATGTGGGCATCATACAAAGGCCGTACTGAAGTGGCTAAACTGCTGCTTGAGAAAGGAGCAAATCCAAACATCACAGGCATGGTAAGTTTTAGTTTAAACATCTCCTTCTCCCAAGTGTTTGAAGTCCTGAATTGTACACTCATCTCATTATCTGGATCAAATATTTTGTATTTTTTTGCAGTATGACATTTTTTACTGTCCTTTATAATGAGCTTACTTTAATAATCTGTGTGATTGCCACTGGCTTTTTTAATAATTTTGAATTTTTTTAATTGAAGCAAATGAGTGTATAGCTCATACTGAGATTCAAATTATCAGGAGAGGAATTAATGGAAAAGATAAGTAGTGTATCTAATGTTACTTGTGTAACAACTGTCATTTTTCTGCATCTGTAGAAGTTAATGGAGTAACTAATGTGTGCAATGTAGAAACCATAATTTGCTTTAATTGTTCCATAATAATTTAGATTATATGAACATATATCATTCATGTTGGAGAATTAAAAAAACCTAAGATTTTGAGATTTAGTTCATTTGTAAGCATTTTCTACAGAAGTGTAGGCACTGAAGAATTTCTTTATACTGACAGTTCTCTGCACTTTGAGGCAATGAACAATGAAGGAAGAACCCCAGTGGCCAGAACAACCTTTGTGATGGTTGATTTTCTCATGTTTATATATGCAGTGTCTGTGTGCATGGCACAACTCCTCTGTAGTCCTCATTACTTAGGGGTATTACACAGCTGTCTATGGCTTCCTTTCTGCCTTACAACTGTTCCTATTAAGACAAGGGTGTGAATTTACAAACCTTGTTTAAAGAGTTATAAAGCAAAACTGGTTCAAAACAGTGGACATCTTCCTAGATATCATCTAGGTAATGTACTAGATAACTATTATTGGTAATGTAGTTGGATTTATTTCTGTATATTCATTCTTCTATGTGTTTAACTTCTCTTGAGACTTGTTTTGTTGATGTAAAATAATGAAAATGCTTAAGACTATTTATTTTTTTTTTTTAATTCTAAGCAATACAGTGTTTATCCAATCATTTGGGCAGCAGGACGTGGCCACTCAGATATAGTCCATCTCTTACTGCAGCATGGAGCTAAAGTGAACTGCTCTGACAAAGTAAGTTATACCTATATAATATTTAATTTCTGTAATGTTTGATGAATTTCTTGTGAAAGGAAATCTGAGTTCTTGATTAGAAAAACACTTGCTGTTATATTTTAACCATGACATTAGAGTAAGCATGCTAGACTAAGGTGTTATGCTTGAAAAAGATTTTTCCATAGTATGCTCAAGATGGTTGTGAACATATTTCTGTTTTCAGAGCTATTGGCAACCTTGCTATCCTAGGTTGTATAGAAAAATAATTCTTACAGCTGTCTACAAAAGAAAAATGGAAGTGGCTTTTCAAATGCTTGTGTTAATTTGCAAGACCAAATTATATTTTTGTAAAAACTAAAGCAATGAAGTATAGGATAAATACTAGATTGTATGGGATACTAAATACAGAAAACAGTATGATAAAATGTTGTGAATTTTTCAGTATGGAACCACCCCACTGGTTTGGGCAGCAAGGAAGGGGCATTTGGAGTGTGTGAAATACCTGCTGCAGATGGGAGCTGATGTTGACCAAGAAGGAGCTGTAAGTAACTGCATTTTCCAGTGACAAGTACATCTGTGTGTCCTGTTTGGGTTTTTTAATAAAACAAATACCAAGAAATACATGAGACAAGATGAAATGTTGGTGTTGGAGTGTTTGCTTTTCAGCTATTTGCTGACTGCATGTGAGAGTTACTGAAATTTCTTTGTGCCTTTTAAGAAAACTGTGATGTAACTAGGGAGTTGTATTGAGAGTACACACACACCGCTATGTTAAGTTTTAATTTTAATGGCCATAAATTAATTTATCTGATAATTAATTGTTGTCTGAAGGTTAATGCTGTCAAAATTCATTCAGTATCCATGCCTGATACATCAAATATCTTATTCCTCATTTGAAAAATAAATCAAACACAAATCATCTTTTGAAAAGAATAATGGTAACTGCAACTTTTCAGAAATTGAATTTTTTTTCAGAAGTTTCAGCTGCATATTGGTTTTAAATAAAACAGATTACATTTAAATTGCTTGTCAAAACAAAAACACAGTACATTTAAAATTAAGTGGAAGGTTAGGAAAACTTTTGTTATTTATATGATTATTTGTGAAGTTCTTCAAAAGTCCTCTTTTTGAACAGTATTGGTAGACCTGGGTGCTTTGATAATATTATGTTCCCATGTGACAAGAAAATTTGTAATGTGTGGCATTCAGGAGATAGAATAAACTGATCTGAACTTTACTTTTTGCATTTGAAGTTTTCTTTACTATTGCTCTTAGTTTATTTCTTTGTTTTTAAAAAGCCTGTTTTTGGTGCACTTTTAAAAGACAAAACTGAAGTAGCATTTGGGTGATTAAGAGAGTGATGTCATTGTTCTCTTATTTGAACTGCTGATATAATGATGATTGCTATATCCACTGTACAATAAAATCTTTCCGTTTTATTTAAAGAATTCCATGACTGCACTTATTGTAGCAGTGAAGGGTGGCTATACTGACTCAGTAAAAGAAATACTGAAAAGGAACCCAAATGTAAACCTAACAGATAAAGACGGAAATACAGCTTTGATGATTGCATCAAAGGAGGGACATACTGAAATTGTGCAGGATCTTCTTGATGCTGGGACTTATGTGAACATTCCTGACAGAGTGAGTCAATTTTCATCATAATTGTCATTTTACAAATATATATATATAGTTTATGTTTAAATACCAGTGTATGCAGATTTGTAAATATGTGATTTTTCTGGCTTTCTAATTTTTCTGCCATCTAGGGGTGTTTTTGTGTATTGCTCTTTTACAAGTACGTTAAGTGCTAAATGTTGCCATGTGAAGGTAAAGGATAAACTCCTGAAACTACTCTTTTTCTTTGAGATGCTTGAATTGAGAACAGAGGGAATCTGACATGTCTGTAACTTAAGACTAATACTGAACTAATCTGTAGGTTTGGGGTGAGGTAGTGCTGCTAAAACTGTAAATTGTGGATTCTGTAAAAAAGAATGTATTCAGCATGTACCTTTATCTTTTACAATGAAACTTTTTACTAGAAAACTTGCATATATGAGAGGGAGACTTCAGCTTTGGGTTAAGAGATGTAAATGTAATGCTGGATACCTGACCATAGGTGCATTACTCAGTAGAGATGTGACATGAGCAGTGCCCACAGTGTGAATGTGCTTGCTGGCAGCTCAGGATTTTATTTGGTTATTTACACAGGTGCTTTGGACTCTCTGCAGTGCCCTCTTGACAGGAAGGTGTTTCTGAAGTGTCAGAGACAGGTCAAGCACTGCAGCCTCGAGGCTGTAGTTGGTCAGATACCTGAACTTAGATGTCTCTGTCAGGGTCAGTGACTTAGTTCAGAGGGGTAATATGTTTTTGACATTGCATTAGTTGGATTGCTTGGAGTTGCAGAGAATAGAGGAAAGCTTTCTAATATTTGCCTCATAAATTTAAAATTGTTTTGGATGCATTTTCCTGTATTTCAAGTGTCAGTGCATTTCTTAGATGGCTGTGTACTGACCTACAGGCATGTCACAACAAATTTTACCTCAGGGCACATACAAAAGCAAACTTAAAATATTTAAGAAAATACATTGCAGTGCCTCTTAGCACCTCTTTTGCCACAGTGTTCTACAACGATCTGCATTTCTGTGCTTTCAGGAAGGAGAAATTACAGCTTTCAGCACAGCTGACTGTATTCCAAAAATACACCTAACAATGAGTGCTCTTAGTTCCAGATGCTAGAGTAGGTTTTGATAAAGAAAATTTCTTGGTTTGCAGCCAAGTATGTAATGACTGATTAATGGAGCATTTCCTGCTGCTGAGTTCTCTGAGTTCCACACCTGTGATTTTGCTATGCTTTTATTTATTTATTTTTATTTCATCCTAAAAAGAGTACTAGGTAGTTTCAGGAATATAAAGTAATTTCTGAAATTCTTACAGTGTGTTAAAATCAGAAGCCTTAAGCACAACTGTAACTTTGTTTTATGTATGTACAACTCCATTTGCCGCAACAATTTTTTTTATTTTGATCTGAGATGAAATTAGCCTTTTGCTTTTTTCTTTATAATAGCATGGTATATGAACAAGATAGCAGTCAAATCTGCAGAAAAATAAAGGCATAAATTTATTTAAAATTCTTGAGGAACTTTTGTCAGCTATGAAACATCTCAGAGAGACAGACAATCTTGTTTGATTGTAAGTAGGTTATTACTATGAGTGTGTGGTCTCCCTGTTTGGCTTTTTTCATATTTATTATTAATTTATGCTGGGTTTTTAAGATAGTGGTTTAAGCTAGACCTATTTATGGAGTATTTGCTTTCCTGAACAATTAAAAAAAAAGTCAAGAATTTTTTCTATTATACCCATTTTTTCAGAACTACTTCTGTTTTCTGTATCTTTCGTTTTTAAAATGAGTGGAGATTTCTTCATGTAAATAGGCGTCATGCATATTTGGAAGCTATAATTCATTCTCTGTTGCATTTCTTGTTGGTAAATAATGTTAATTCATGTTCATTATTCTTTCACAATTTTTTTTTAGAGTGGAGATACAGTGTTGATTGGGGCTGTTAGAGGTGGTCATGTTGAAATTGTGAGGGCTCTGCTCCATAAATATGCTGATATAGATATCAGAGGTCAGGTAAGTTCAACAGTGTAAATGTTAGAGTACTTCTTCAATAGGATGTGAATGTCTACCAAATAATTATACTGTTTTCCTGAAAACAGGGCTTTAAAGTTTGCTCTGTCTACTCTGTAAGAAATTCAAATTCCATCAAACAGTAAAATACACATGTTGCTGTGCAAGTTTTAAGATATAAAATACATGTAATTGTAATGGCTTGTTAAGCACAGTTTTTTAATTTAATTGTATAATGGTTGAAAAGCAAAAGATGTAAACTGAACTTCATCTGCACTACTGAACAGATTTAGAATAATGACATACTTTAAAAGACACTTAATATAATGATTTTAATCATATTTTAAATAGAATATTAATCAAATGTGATGCACCAGAGATAATATCTATTATCAGAGCAATTCTGTCACTGTGTTTGGTTGGTTCTTATCTTGACCAATTTTCTGTGTTGCATTCTGTTAAACACTGTTAGTGATTTCCATGTTTTCTACCTACCCCTTCTTTGTTTTTTGTCCTTTGATTAAGGTATTAGTTTTACTCTTCTACTGAAAGCTCTCTCATTCAGCATGGTACTTGTGTTTGTTACATTCAACTTGCTTTCTTTTGCTTGAAGCTGTTCAAATCACTCTGCTTTGTTGGCACCTGGGTTCTGCCAAGTTGGTACACAAAACTAACTAGTCACTGAGAGCTGCAAAGGTTCAATGCCTGCTGCTGCTGCAGAGTGTCTCTGAGAAGCCAACAAGTTTTTATTCTCAAGAAAAAGTAGCATTTGAATCTCTTCCTCTAACCTGACATTGGCAACCCCTGTGTCTCAGCTTCTGGCTGTGACGTGGGTTTAAAATCTGAAGCTTTAAAACATCTTGCTGTGACTGAAGCAATACAGAAACAGCCGGAGGATGCAACACCTTTGGTAGCAGGGGAGCTTGTGACTTCTGGCAGTGTGAGGCTGCTTGAGTGGCAATTTGCAGTGGTTATCTAGAGAATGCTCTGTGGCACAGCAGGAGGCACAGCAGGAGTCAGTACCAGCAGAGCGACATTTTGGCTCTGCACTTCAGATCATAGTTTAGGTCCAGCAGTATCAAAATTGGAGATGAGTGTTACTTCCCTGCTGGGAGCAACTTCCCTGCTGTTTGGCAGTGCAGAACCTGCCTGCTGGGCTGTTCTGGGGAGGTGTGTTGACTGCTCAAATTTGTGATGTTTCAGAAATATTGCTGAGTCTTGAGCAGCCTTCCAGCAGCAGTGTTCCTTGCCGATCATGCATTCATACAGTCACTAGCTGGCAGATACCTTCAGCAGATAAAACAGGACTGAAAGGCCATTGAGAGTGGGTGTTGGGGCAGGTGAGGGCTCAGGTAGGGTTTTCCTCAGCTCTTCTGGGAGGGGGAAGGACCCAGCTGGGAGCACCTGGCTGTGTAGCTGATGTACAGCTCAGGCTGATGTCTGAAGCTCACTGAAGGACAGAGAAGATGAAACTCAAGTGATTGGAGAGGAAAGAATTCTTAGTGACTGGGCTTGTTAAACTGTTGAGAAAGGTTTTTAACTCAGTTTGCTCTGAAGCCCGTGAGTGGAAGAGAAAGAGCTGCAAATGAAAGAAGCAGGCAAGGTAGAAGGCTGCAAGGGGCACTTTGACATTCCTGCTTAGAAGCAGGTGTGTGTTCAGAGGCTGTTCTTAAATGTCTCTACACAAATATGCATCAAACAGAAAGAGTCATGATGCAGTCACTAGTCTACAGAAAGATTGTGAAAGTCTTCCCATATGTGAAGACTTCGGGTAGCACGCATCCACACATCACTGGGAGGAAAAACAGATGACAGAAGCAGATTTGTGGCTATGAACCTTCCCCCAGGTTTACTGATAAAATGTCTGGCTGATCAGCATTCTGGTACTTTGTGTTGACTTTCTTGTCCATCTGCTTTTATAGCTTCCTAGCTTCCAGGACCTCTGAAAAAAAGTTGGTTTATTTCATTAGATAATTTGTATATTTGAGTTAGAACTGAATACCTTCATGTAGTTTCAGAAACTTTTTCAAGATAGGTTAAGTCTACTTGGATTGTTAAAGCTCTTAACATATTTCACAAAGGTTTTCAAAATGGGTATATATTCCTTAGCCAAATTTGCATCCTACCCTCTAAATTCTTCAGCTGTGCCAATTTTATTTGTTGACCTTTGCCTTCAGCTGTGCTAAAAATTGCTGTATTATTGCAATTTTCAATATAAATGGTTGTACTTTAAATACTGTTCAAATGAAAGTACTATTAGTGTTTAATACTCTTTTTTAATTTTTAGGATAATAAAACTGCTTTATATTGGGCAGTTGAGAAAGGAAATGCTACAATGGTGAGAGATATCTTGCAATGCAACCCTGATACTGAGACATGTACCAAGGTAACAATTAGAATTTTAATTGAATTGCTTTTTTTAATATCAGTTCTTTTCTCAGTTCTTGTGTGATGTGAAGATCACACCACATTCAGTTTTTGTGAAGTGTTGGTACGTTGAACACTGTTAATTTTTTTTTGTGAAATAAGGCTTCTCAGCAATAGTCATGTTCCCTGTGTTGATAAATATGATTTGCTGTTAAATAGCAAACAGGGATAGCAGGGAGCATGTGGATTCTTTACCTCAGCATCCTTGACATGACCAGCAATAAGAAGTAAAGAGTAAGTGCTACTGGACACTGAGGAAAGAGATCTCTGATATTGCTAGGCCTGAGTTCAGGAATGTGCAGCAGTAAGGAAAAAAATAAGAGAAGTAGTTGGCACAGCATTGAAATATTTTCAAATATCTTGTATTATATCTGGATTTTGTCTTTCTTTATTTGATACTGTTATTGACAGAAATGTATTTTGTTCTTTGATTCTAATCAATCTAGAAAATTGGGTCTGGGATACTTTTTCACAGACCTAGGTGAAAGTGTTGTTGCTTGCACAGTAGCACATTCAATTATCTTAACATTTTTTGGTTTAATTTGTTACTAATCAATCTAGAAAATTGGGTCTGGGATACTTTTTCACAGACCTAGGTGCTAAAGTGTTGTTGCTTGCACAGTAGCACATTTAATTTTAATTATCTTAAATTTTTTTGGTTTAATTTGTTTCCCAATCACTGTTTCTTTTTCCTGGTTTTGGGTATATGGAGATCTTTGCATTCATCCTTCTTTTCCATTTTAGGATGGAGAAACACCACTTATAAAGGCAACCAAGATGAGAAATATTGAAATAGTAGAGCTTCTTCTGGATAAAGGAGCTAAGGTCTCTGCTGTAGACAAGGTAAAGAATATTTGGTCTTTACTATAGTATATTTAATAATTTTAGTTTTGCATCAGGGTTTTGGAGAGAGCTGTCAAGGCTAATACAGAAAGAGAGCTTCTCGTATGGTTAATAATTAAATAGACAATAAGACTTAAATGCTTAGTCTCCCATATGTTTAATAATAGATTGGAACACTTAAATGGAAATTTGTTTCCACCACTACTATATTGTTGGGTTTTGGTTTGTTTTGTATTAAGGTGCTCTTAATTACTTGAAAAAAAATCCAGGTGAGGAATAAAACTTTAACATATAAAACAGCTAATTCTTAGTACACTTTAAGAAGAGCATAAAGAATGGTTGTCATTTGTCACTAATGTTAGTTTTTGATTAATAGACATGAAACTAAAGGATGCCAAGGACAAATACAGCTGATTATTGCTGTATTTCTTGATGTATTGGTTCTTATGCATTACCTACTTTGATTGCAGACCTCTTAAATTCAGGAACATATATTTGCTGCTTTTATAATTTCTTGTTTAGGGCAAATAAGTGATTATATTGATTTGATGCAATAAGAAAGCTTTTACTGAGAAGTTTTTGGGGAAGTCTGAGCAGACATTGAAACAATTCTAACAAGCACTATCTGTTGTTCCAAAAGTCTCTAAGTTTGCCTGTAGACATTTGTTTCTACACAGACTACAGTTTTCATGAACTTTAAGATATTAATAAGCATTTAAGAAAGAAGGCAGTGTCTGAGGTTTAGCATTCTGAGAACTGCTTTTTCACATGTCTTCTCTGAAGCATTTGTAATGCTTTTTCAAGGGCAGAAATGCTTACTGTAAGGCACTGATGCTTTTGAAAGTGCCCTAAGATTTATTTCAAGGAAATAATGCTTCTGAAACAGTGTTGAACATTTAGTCTGTCTATAGTCTTAGGAATTCATGTTAGCTATTACTATCTTTTCACTTAATTGCAGAAAGGAGATACTCCACTTCACATTGCTATTCGTGGAAGAAGCCGTAAACTTGCTGAATTACTCTTAAGAAACCCAAAAGATGGTCGATTGCTTTATAGACCCAACAAGGCAGGAGAAACCCCTTACAATATTGACTGTAGCCACCAGAAGAGTATTTTAACACAGATATTTGGTGCCAGTAAGTATAAGTATTCTTTTTTTTTAATCACTCACATATTGACAATCCAGTGTATTCAATTATGTATTGAAAGGCAACTACAGATCTTTTAATGTTTTAATGTTACACCTAACAGGAAGGCTTAAAAGTAAGCAGTTGGGAAAAACTCCCATCACTCTTAAAAGCCTGGCAGAGGTAAAATAACCTTTTATTTTGACTTTAGATATTAGATACTACGTGACTTCTGTTCATCCCTTTGTTTCTATTTGGATCTTGCTTGTGTGGGAATTACTTTTTGACTTCCTGTGGTTTGGGATCTTGAGTCTTGTAGTAGGCTTTAATAGTTGTGATAATTATCTATCATTCATGTGGATGATTTAAAATTCCTTGGAACAGAAATGTACAAAGAACAACAGCTGTTTTAGGGCAGGAGTATATGTACAAATATGGGTGAACGTGGCATGATTTATGTATGAAAATTGTCATACTGGAGAGCTTTCTTAGAGCAAAGTTGTATAGCACAGTGTTTGTGTTGCAGGACACTTGTCTCCCACTGAATCTGACGGTGACATGCTGGGCTATGATCTGTACAGCAGTGCTTTGGCTGATATTCTGAGTGAACCAACCATGCAGCCACCCATCTGTGTGGGCTTGTATGCACAGTGGGGAAGTGGAAAGTCTTTCCTGCTTAAGAAACTGGAAGGTAAAAGCTCGATTTAGTCTTTTCAGTGCTTACAGTCTATCTATGAAAAGTATCACATTGGAGTTACTAGTTTTTGTGAGGGTTGCTGGTCCATGTAATGTTGTATCTGGTCTCTGTTTCTGTGATGAAAGGATTTAAATTTTACTGTGATCAGTTCATCCATAGATTGCTTTGTTAATTTATACAATGTCAAGACAGTCTTTAAGTGCTTCTGTCTATTTTTCTGTGAGTTTCCTGCAGCAGTGAATCTACCCTTTAGGAACTGCAGAAAGTCTGACTGCCAAAATATGCCTTGTTAGGTCTGTTTGTGTGTCAGATAAGGTTCAGACCTCTTCTGCTCCAGTGTTTATTTATTGTGCATCCTATGTGTCTTTTTCTTTTTAATGCTTAAGAACAATTATCAGGCTATTAATATTTTATTCTCTTTAGTGTATGTTCTTTGCATCTAGTTTTCTTCCCCTTTCCTTTCCAAAATAATTTCTTATTTTGAGGTTTTTGAACTTTCTCAAATGACAGAGGAAGGCAAATCCAGTATATGAAATGAATCAATATTATTCCTGGTAGAAATAGGAATCTTATTTAGTTTTAGCATTTTCTTATAAAGGGTGTTTTTCTGAGATGCTTCAATATAATTCAAAATAGTTCTACAATCTTGGTGTTTCTTACTTTCTGTGATTTCTCTATTAGCCAAAATGGGATCACTGCAGTCATTTTTTTCACCTCCTGTTCCATGTCATAAACAAAAAGAGTATATATTTTGACTGTGATATTTGTTGCTGATGAGCTCTTACATTTCTAAAACACTTCCTCAGTGTTTTCTTCCCGTTCCTCATTCCTGTTTTTATTTTGGATTGTGTATCTATTATTTCTTATTCCATAGAACCAAAATAAGTTCCTTCGGGAATTCCTGTTTTAGTAAATAAGAATCCACAAACAGAATTAATACTACAGCCTTCACATTGTACTCTTACATCTGACTATTTGAGGAACACAGTCCATGTTTCAGTGATTGAGATTTTGGGGGTTGGGTGGGATTTTTTGACAGATACGGTGGATTTATTTTTCTCAGAGTCATAAAATATGTTTTACACTTTTGCAGGAGGATTGCATGACTTTTAATATGCTTTCAGAAGTAGAAAATCTGCAGCAAGGAATCTGAGTATTGTGCATTTAAATATTTTCATTCATTGCATGGATGAGAACTTAAGGTTTTGTACTGTTTCAAGAAGAATTTAAGCATAATTGTCTTTTTTTTGATCATTAATTGGGAAAGTTATACAGTCTGCTGAAAAAGTTCTTTTCAGAAATGATCTGTTCTTTAGTGAATTCATATGTTAACTGGTCTTTGTGTTTTTGTTTTAGATGAAATGAAGACTTTTGCAGGACAGCAGATTGAACCTCTGTTTCAGTTCTCCTGGCTTGTTGTATTCCTCACACTCTTGCTGTGTGGGGGTTTGGGTTTACTGCTTGCTTTCACTGTGGACGCAAAGCTTGGAATAGCAGTGTCACTCAGCTTATTAGCTGTTCTCTACATTTTCTTTAGTAAGTCATATATGGAATTCATGAAGGTTTTTATCTATTTTTGGGATTAAATATTGCTTTGTAGATATGCATTTGCCATTCATAAAAAATACTAAATGGTTTTTGTAGACAATAAGACCCCTTTGGATCTTTTGCTTTGTGTGTAATTTGTGAGAGGGCATTCTTGAGAACAAAGAAGGATTTTGTTCATTAATTTCATTGTGTTACTCTTACCATTCTCATTTTTAACCTAACTGCTAAAAGTTCATAACATTTTTACAGAACGCCATACTTTATCTGTTCAGACCTCATGATTCTTTCAGTTGCCAATGTTGACTAAATTAAAACCATAAAATCTTTTTAATATTTTAGCTGTAATTTACTTTGGTGGCCGGAGAGAAGGGGAGAGATGGAACTGGGCCTGGGTGTTAAGTACAAGATTGGCAAGACATGTTGGATATTTAGAGTTGCTTCTCAAACTCATGTTTGTGAACCCACCAGAGCTACCAGAGCAAACCACTAAAGCTTTACCTGTCAGGTTAGTTATTTCATTTATTTACTTTGAATACATCAGTCAGGCTCACTCTGATACTTCTCAAACTGTGTGTATTAATGTGCACGTTTAGCTTCATATCAAAAGTTATTGAGATTCCTGTTAGAAAAACAGTAGCTCTAGACAATAATAAACTTTTCAGTGTAAAGAAGATTTTCTTGAGAACATTATATCTACCTAAGTTGGTGAAAGTGCTTTTTAGAATTAGGGAGTTTGGCTGTTGCACTAATGAAAATTCATACCAGATAAAATAAGAATTTATGTATATTATGTATTATCTATGTTTAATGCTTGTTCCACTGATTACTTCTGTTAAGGTCTGGGGTTTTTTTTCCTCCCTGTAAGTAGAGCATCAGACTGTTCAAAGCTTCTCGTTTACCTGAAAACAAGAAAATTTATGCTGTGTGCTTGAAAATTTAATTTACTTCTATTGCTTAAAGACTTCTCTTTGGTGCTTTTATGTCATTTTGTGTTTCTATATTTTTCTAATTCTCTATAAATATTTGAAAATAGATCAGAATGCAGTTTTGAAAATATTTGTCAATATTATGGTTTGACAGCATAAAGATATTTTCATGTTTTTACTGTCATCTGAGGTACTATTAGTGATATGACAGTTTTTATCTTTTCAAGTATTAGAAATCAAGTTTTAGAATAGGAAGTGGGGCAAGGAAGAGGTTGATAAATGGGGAAGTAGTTAAATTCCATATAGATTTAAAAAAAATTAAAGTGTTTTACATTTTGTATTACTTGAAAAAACTTTTTACTACAGAGATGCAGCAAGACTTTCATTTTAGTTGCCATAAAATATTTGAAGTTTTCTGAAGTACACAAAATACATGCTTTTTCTCTTTCAGATTTTTGTTTACAGACTACAACAGACTGTCCAGTGTAGGTGGAGAGACTTCACTGGCTGAGATGATTGCTACCCTCTCTGATGCATGTGAAAGGGAATTTGGTTTCCTAGCAACAAGGCTATTTCGAGTTTTCAAGACAGAAGATACACAAGGTTGGATTTTTTTTTTTACCTGAATGACATTTCCAGTTATTCCATTTCAGTGCACTGTTACCAGGGCTTCTGTGTTTTGCATTATAAGCTCTTTTTAGAAATTGTTGTAGCCATGCAGAAAGTCATAGAGAAGGGGAAACTCTTTGTTTGGAAGAGAAAAAATGCCCCATATTGTTTGCTAATTTTGACTTTATTAATATAATAAACAAGTATCTCCTGTGAAGTATAGTTTTCAGAAATGTCAGTGGAAATGTATGTTTATATTACATCCTTTTAGATGCAGCATACTTCCATAGCAATTACGCCAATGTGTCTGAGTCCAATAAAGGGAAATGTATGTTTTTGTGGATTTCTATGAAAGGTTTGTTTGGTTTATTAGAATTTAATTTAGAGCTTTTATGAGTAACCACTATTTATTCTTGGAAATAATAAATGTGTAGAACATGTTGGTCCAATCCTATAAATTGATGTGATTAGTACTAGTAATATGGGATGAAATGTACCCACTTGATCCTACAAGCTTTTTCATTCTGTTTCATCTCTTGGTTTCTAGAAAAAGAAATTTGCAGAGTACAGTATGATATTGTGAAGGAATACTAGAGCTTAACTTGAAATTAATCAAGGATTTATTTGTACTTTAATTTTAGTATGTGTCAGTTACTTCTCATTTCTTTTTGTGTACAAATTGAGGAATTTGTCACCTCTCACAAAGTGAAATGTTTAGACTCTTCTGTCCTGCAGAGGTTGGAAAAAACACACTATGTTTGCTATGTTCAGCTATGTGCTAAACACAACTTACTCCTCATTGTTCTTTTTCAAATTCACTAAGTGTTCTTTATGAAAGAGATGTGTGGATTTTTTCACCCTTTTTTCCCATGTTAGGTTCTGCAGTTCCTCTCCTTAATCTCGGTGAAACGGCTTTCATGATGCTGTAATTGCTCCTGAAGATATCTTGGGAATGGCAATGTAGTGCTGGCTTCTTGTGATTATTTGCAGTACTGACCTTCTCCCTTTCATTTGTAATCTTACATTCACTTATATTCTTTGCTCTGTTGCCTTTCTGTGCTCTGTCTAAATATCTAATTGATTTTTTTAAATTTATTTTATCTATTTGATGATTTTGCACATTCTCTCCCTTTCTTGAGTTGTTTACAGGTCCAGGGTCATAGGTTTCTTGCCTCTCGATGTTCACAGAAATTCCATAGAGGTTTATTTTTAGCCTTCTGTATCTTAATTTTTATTATTTCTGTAAACTCGTAGACATGCTTCTTTCAATTGTCATGACATTGTTCATGATATTTAAGTGTCCCGCTAATCCAGTTCTGTCTCTTTCTAGTAAGAGGATACTTACATTTCTACTTCAGTCTAGAACTTAATTATATCTGAGCTGTTCCCCTTCATATTTTGCCTCTCACTTCTGTCATGATGCATTTCTGTTGCTTTGTCCTGCAGCACAATCCTATGAGTCACTTGTGTCAGCAATGTGAAAAACCTTTGCAGCTCATGCCTTGGTATAGAGAATAATATGGGCCACATATAAACCTTGAGTATTCTTTCTATTTAGCATATTAAAAATATGATTTTCCCCCTGCAGTTCAAATTCTGATGTTTAGCTATCATAATTTTGCTTCAGATCATTGCTGTTCTGTTTTTTGTTATCAGCAAATGTGTCCAGAAGATAACAATCTTCTAAATGTACCACTAGATCTTACAGGTCCTAAAGACAGAGACTGTTGCTTTGGAAAATGCTGCTTCTTTGATCACTGATTTAGCTGTGCTAAGCTCCAACTGCAGTATTTGCTTATTTCTTATCAGTCCACTTGAAGTACTTGTGTGTGTTTTAGCATGCAAGACAGGATGGTCTCAGGTTGCAGCTTGCAATTTGGGTTTAGTTCCTCAATGATACCATTACTATTAGATTATGTAAGTACCAGGTTCCAGTTTAAAACTGAGTAGTTCCTGTACTGTTGTCCTACAATTTATTTACATAAATACACTTTACAAAGAGATGCCATAAAAGGGGTGATAGCACTGATATTAAATTGTCATTTCTATCTAGTGTGGATTTCTTGAAATGATGGAAGTAAACTAAAGATTAAAGGAATATCTCTGCGTCATAATTTCCAATAATTTTGGCAAATAGTAGATTTTTTTTCTCCACTGGTTTGTAACTAGGTGGTAACATTGCAGTAAGCTTTTGTGCCAGTTGGTGTTTTATGAGAAGTATGCAAGTTAATAGATTTTTCATTCACCTGCCATTACCTTGTACATTAATTCTAACAGCAATACCTGTTTCCTAGGTAAAAAGAAATGGAAGAAAACTTGCTGCCTCCCATCCTTTGTGATTTTCCTGTTCATCTTGTCTTGCGTTGTTTCTGCCATCGCCCTGTTGGCGATTTTTAATGTGGAGTCAGCCAACATGACAGTGAACGTTATTCTCATAACCGTGACCTGTATTGTTGGTTTGGCCTTTTTCTTGAATTGCCGCACGTGGTGGCAGGTGATGGACTCAGTTTTGAATTCTCAGAGAAAACGTCTCCACAGTGCTGCCTCCAAGCTTCACAAGCTGAAAAGCGAGGGCTTCATGAAGGTGAGCATTTGTATGAATTGGCCCTTAAAAGGAATGAAACAAACCCCCAACCATGAAGCATCATTAAATTGGGGCACCATTAATTTAATCAGGCCAAGTCTCACAACAGGAGAATGAGACTTGGTGAGGTTTTACTGAATGGGACACTTCTGTGCCAATGGTAATTGTGCTTAGTATATGAAATCTATCTGCTTAATCATGAATGTTAAATTTGGGATTTCAGTTTTCTGATTTCATTTTTGCTGGGAAGAAAGCAACACTTTGAAAACAATTCTCAATTACCATTATTTCATAAAAGCTTACTTTAGATCATAAGATGAGAAAGAATAGCTTTGAGAATCTTCTAAAGGTGTAAAAACAAGCCTAACTTTGTCTGTCTGGAAGACCTCGTTGCCAAGAAAGGAATTCTAGCACTGAAAGAACAATTCCAAAACACTCCATGTATTTAATGAAAAATTGTAGAAAATACTATTGTTTTGCTGGCCTGTATCTATAAACTGATAAATATACTCTCAGGCTGTCATCACCTAGTGCTATGTGCTCCTCCTTGAAAGTAAAATGTAGCATTATGGTTGTTAACTTTGTAGATTACAGCAAATGTATTGTATAAAAATTCTTCATACAGTCATAGAATAGTTTGAGTTGAAAGGGGCCTTTTAAAGGTCAGCCAGTGCAACCTGACCTCGAATGTTTCCAAGGGTGGGCATCCACAACTTCTCTGGGCAATCTGTACCAGTGTTTTACCATCTGATTTTAAACAAACTTCTTTCTTATATCTAACCTAAGTTGATTGTCCTTCAGTTTTTAAAACCATTCCCCCTTGTCCTCTTGCAAAAGGCCCTGCTATAAAGTTTGTCCTCATATTACTTACAGGTCTCTTTAGGTACTGGAAAGCCACAATAAACATCTCCCCAGAATCTTATCTTCAGGCTGAATAATTACAATTCTCTCAGCCTTTCGTTACAGCAGAGATGCTCCATCCCTCTAATCATCTTTGTGGCCTTCTCTGGACTTACTCCAATATACAGGTGTCATTCCTATGCTGAGGAGTGCAGAGCTGGATGCTGGACTGTAGGTAGGGCCTCACTAGAGTGAAGCAGAAGAACAGAATCCTCTCCCTCGCCTGCTGCCCACACTGCCTTTGATGCAGTCCAGGACATGTTTTGGCTTTCTGGGCTTCAAGAGCACATGGCTGGGTCATGTCCAGCCTCTCTCCCACAGCATCTGCCACATCCTTCTTGGCAGAGCTCCTCTGCATCTGTTCATCCCCAAGACTGGGATGATACCAGGGATTCAGTACACAGGTGCAGGGCCTTGCACTTGGCCTTGTTGAACCTCATGAACCCCCTTCTTGAGCTTGTCCATGTCCCTCTGAATGGCATCCTGTCCCAGTGGTCAACTGCACCACTTAATCTTGGTGTCATCTGCAAACTTGATGAGGATGTGCTTGTGTGTCCAGCACATCTCAGATGAGAGCCCTCACTAGCCCTGCATCCCTCTAACCATGGTGTGTCATACCAGTTTGTTGTGAGCAAGCCTCATATTATCCCTCTCCGTATTGTTTAAAGCTGTGTCAGCTAACCCTGCTGGCTCCTGGTCAAAGGCTCTCTTTGCCCTTTGGGAAAGGTGAATCCCTTCTGATGCCAGCATGCCTAGAGCCGTGCTTTTGCAGCACAGGAGACCTGATTGTGTCTTGGTACTGTGCTTCTTGACAGTTGTTTGTTGAGTGGTATTTATCTGACATAACTTCAGCCTTTAGGAGTTAGATTCACCCTTTGCCATCAAAGGAGAGAAGCAGGGATTTCAGAAAAGTTGTTCATCTCATGTTTTATGTCATCTTACTGAGCACATTCTAATTAATCTACTGGTTAAGAGATCAGATTTTGATGTCTACCTGTTAGCTGCTGAAGTTAGGAAAGGCAAATTCCACCTTTGTTTCTATGTTATGGTTGGTTGTTACATGTGTAACAATGTTGAAAAGCTTAACAAATCTTCAGACTGCATGTCTTGAATAGCAATGACTGAGTATTAGAGTAATAGCATAATATGCTTGGCTGGAAGGCAGAAAATTTTGCTGTACATTTTATGCAAAGCTGTGTTTGAGGGCTAGCTGAAGCTACAAATGCTCTTTTATTTGCTTCTGAAATAATGCTTTACTGTTCATAAATATTGTTTTCTTAAATAACATTGTAATGGATTTTAAATAAGAATAGTTTGTTATATCAAAGTGGAATATATGTTTCTGCTGTACATTTTTGTTCAAATAGAAAATTAATATGTTGGAAGTGACATTTTAGGACTTTTCACTTAGAGTATTTTTAAGTTTATTCTTGTAATCTTACTGAAGTATTTTTGGGACAAATAGCAGTCTGCAAAAGGAAATATATATCTTTTTATCAGTTTAAAGTATTATAGACATGTCATTCTTTGTTTTTCTGGGGGTTTTTTTTGTAAAACCTTTTTTTCTTTTCTGGTTTTTTTTTCTTTGACGTTTTCAGTAATATCAATTTGGAAGACTTATCAAATTATTCTTATGAAATTCTTAAAAATGATCCATGTAAGAAAAGTCCAGTCTTACATCAGTAGACTGATGCTCTGTCAAAGAGGAAAAAGTTTGCCTGTTCACCAAAGCATTCCATTCCACAAAAAATTAAATACAGCTCTCTGTGAATGCTGAGCTGATACAGCAGATCTGGTAGGACCTATGGTCTGTGTGTGTATTTTGGATTTTTTCTTGTGTAAGCCTGACATCAGCTTGTTGCAGGATGTTGCAACAGGAGACAGTAACTGAGTTTATCAAAGCAATATTAAGTACTAGACTTGTACTGCAATGTCTGCCACATTCTTTTCCTGCTTTCTGTTCTTCATATTTACATAAAAACACAAAGTGGTTGAATAAAAGGTATCTAGGAAAAAAGCAACTCAGAGTCTGAGGCTACTGAGGTTTGTGAGCTGTCCTTGGTAGAGACTTCAGGAGTTTTGTAGCAGAGGAACCTGATGGTCACTTCAATTTTTGCATGTAGTTAGTAAATGGATTATATTAACTCACTGGGAGACAGTAGGAAGTGCAGCGGCTACTGCTGACCTCTTGGTCTCTGACTCGCCCGGCTGCACAGGCCAGCACCGCCGGCAGCAGTGAGGGGGGAAGGGACAAATGCATCCCAACAAGGAAGTGATGATGAAAATGCTGAAAGTAGTAATCTTTTTAGAAAATATTCTGCTACATCACTCTATTTCGCCCTCTCAGAATTGATGTAGAATTAAAATGTGTAGCTCTTATCACTTCTTGGCTTCTATGTAAACAGGTAAATCAGAATTAAATTAATGTATGTTTGATATTAACTGCCAGCTTCACAGACTTACTCACAAAAACTCTAACTTGATTATCAAGTAAAACTGAAGTATTTGAAATACATAAAAGCTTTTGATACTAATCAGTATTGCTTGGGTTTTTGTTTCATTATCAGGACACTTACCGAAGGCGCCAGATGCAGAGGACCATTACCCGCCAAATGTCATTTGATTTGACCAAGCTGTTGGTTACAGAGGATTGGTTCAGTGATATCAGCCCTCAGACCATGAGGAGGTTGCTAAATATTGTTTCAGTGACTGGTAAGTGTGACGTGCTGGTGTGCAGTGAACAGGACTGAGTTTTTGAGTAAGTCAGTCCATGTGTTGCTTTTGAAAGTTTTTCTGAAGCAAACTCTTCCAGAATGTAAGAAAACATTATTGACCATTCTATTTAGGAAGGATATTGAGATGCTTGAGCGTGTCCAGAGGAGAGCAATGAGGCTGGTGAGGGCTTGGAAAACAAGCCCTACTAGGAACGTTTGAAGGAACTGGGGTTGTTTAGCCTGGAGAAGAGGAGGCTTAGAGGTGACCTCATTGCTCTCTACAACTTCCTGAAGGGAGGTTGTAGATAGGTGGGGGTCAGTCTCTTCCACCGGGCAGCAACTTACAGAACCAGAGGACACAGTCTCAAGCTACGTCAGGGAAGGTATAGGTTAGATATTAGGAAAAAATTTTTCACTGAAAGAATAATAAAGCACTGGAATTGTCTTCCCAGGGAGGTGGTGGAATCACCATCTCTGGATGTGTTTAAAAAAAGACTGGACATGGCACTTGGTGCTATAGTCTAGTTGAGATGTTAGGGCATAGGTCGGACTTGATGATCTTAGAGGTCTCTTCCAACCTCATTATTCTGTGATTCTGTGATTCTGTGATGTGGAATTTGAAAGATACGTACTATTTGTTGTTTCATTGACTTCATTTGGGTGACAAATTGTTCTAGTCTGCATTTTTAGGAAATTTTATATTTTTAAATTTTGAAATTGTATAAGAAAATTACATTTTTTAATTTCATGATACTATGGTGTGAGCAAAGATTGTAGTGATGACATGTGAAAAGGTAATCTGTGAGTGGAAAACCAAGTATATATCCTGTTTATTTTTTGGGTATTTGCAGTGCTTTTTCCGTAAATGATTTGTGTGAGGCTGATGAAAGCATTTTGTCACCTGTTTTTCTTCAATAAAACACAGTCAAGACATTGGTATCTCTGAACTTTAAAAACTGGAAATAATGTGGAAAGGGCTTACGGAGGTTTAATAAAAACATGTTTCATGCAGTAAGTGAGTGGGGAATAATTATTTAGTGTCTTTTCTATTACAGACACTAGAAGGCACTGGGTAGCCTACAGCTACCCAGAGCAAAGAAATTGAGTTACTTTTCACACTGTGTATAGTCAAGAGCATAAATCTTCATCTGCAACTGACCTCAAATTCTGGGCTAATTTTTTTAATAAGTGTGCTGTCTCTTAGCTTGTTACTGCAATTTGTAGCATGTAACCTGTCTTGTTTTGGCAAATTACAGTGCATTTACGAAAGTATAACAAAATCACAAAATGTTAGTTGTAAAATTAAACTAAAAAATCAGACATTGCAAGAACATTTTTAGTGTATTATAATCTGTAGTTACACATGATGTCATAAACAGCTTTATGAACAGAGCCTTCAGGCTGTTGGTTACATGTAATTACAGATATTAATAAAGGACTTACAGAAAAATTGCTGAAACTTCAAATGCCTAAATTGTAGCATTAACTTTTTCTGATTTTTAAAATAACCTCATTTGTAATTTATACCTTACCTTACTAACTTAAAACAGTCTTTTTTATAGCTTTGAATTTTACTCTATTGGCTTTGAATTTTACTATATTGAAGTTGGCAGTTGTATACTTAAATTGTTTTGACCACATTTCATATGCCAGTGCATAGAAAATCTGTCAAAGTATTAGCATGAAATTCTCTGTTTAGATGGAGAAATTAATGCTGTGTGAAATACTTCATTAAATTTGGTTGAAGGAAGTTAAGAATCACTAGTAACAGGATGACAGTAATTAGTGTTTAAACTGGAGCTGAAGTTGACAGTTTTGGAGAGTCTCATTATTTGCAAGGATTTTTATTAGACTGTAAAATTATATTTTTAGATGCAACTTGCAATGATTTTGAATTTACTGAGCTAAAAATATAATTAGCAGGAAGTTCATACATCAGATAATAACAAAGTAACGTAGCTGTTACTTTGAGGGGAAAAAAAAGGTGTCTTTCAAAAGGGATTAAAAATCCTCTATGTGTTCTTTTGTTCTTTCTTGTTCTTTTAGGTCGTTTATTGAGAGCCAATCAAATCACATTCAATTGGGACAGACTGGCAAGCTGGATCAATCTCACAGAGCAGTGGCCATATAGAACATCATGGCTCATCCTGCATCTTGAAGAGACTGAAGGTGTTCCAGATCACCTGACTTTAAAAACCATCTATGAGAGGTAGTCATTAGTCTGTTAATGGTGTGCAATTTCAGTGATTAAAATAGTGATTGTTATTAATGATCACTAGAATAACGTGGCTTTCAAGCATTTATCAGGTTGTAATCTAAAATTCCCACAATCTCACCCTCTTTTGCTGACTTTTGAAAACTTCTAAGTGAGTTTCATTGCTATTTGATGCGCCATGTATGAATGAGTGCTTTGTATTTAAACCAAAGAGAACTGTACAGGTATTCTTTCACAAGCAACTAACTGTACTTTTGTCTCTTGATATCCTTTTCATCTTTACCTTGGCCAAGCTACAAGTTGGGTATTTTTTCCACTTCTTTGTTAATCTCATCAGAAACTGGCCTTACTGATAAAAATCTCTGAAAGTTTTGTGCTTAGCAGGTGTGCTATGGCAATGCCATGTGCTGCAGTTAGGGATGTGAAAAAGAGGCATGACTTTCTCCATTTCTGCTGTGAACTGCTGTTCAACAGAGCTGTCTATGTATTGCTGCTGAGAACAAATTGCCCTGTGTTGCCAGTGAACATCTCTCTCCAGCATCCTCTGCTTCTAGGAAGGGATCCATGGGTTTTGACCTGATGACAGTGGGAGGAATGGATGAGAGATGTGACTGAGAGTGGGACCTATAGAAGAAAAGCAGAATCTGAGAATCAGAGTCAGGGAGAAGAGAGAAAGGTTTGACTTGAATAAGATATAATTGAGATCAGATTAAAAGAAGAGAAGACTGTGACTGATTGAACAAGTTACCAGAAAATCTAGAGATTTTGCAGGGTTCAGGGGAATGAACTTGGAGAGAAAATACTGGAAGTGTGCTCTGCAGTGAAAGTCGAGGAGTAGGAGATGAACTGTGTGAGGGTCTGGGATGGGCTGAGAATGATTGAAGTGTTGAGAATGGAATTAAGATTGTTTGAGAAAGATTGAATGAGTTGTATTAGGGAAGAGAAGTTGAAGTGCAGTTAGGATCTGAACACAGAAGTCTCAGAAGGTAGAGGGATAAAGGTAGATTGGGCATGATGAGGCTGAGGATTGAAGACAGATGAAGAGGGCAAGTAGTAGACTGAAGTAGTTGACTGGCTTCAAGCTGGAAGATGGTTTTATATTGTAAGTATTTACGCAACAAACTCATTGCAGTTTTCTGATTATTGGAATCCCGAGTAATAAATCACTTTGGGATGATTGACCTACAAAGCTGTCTTCAAGACGTAACAGTGTTTGTCTTCTGATAAACCAGAGGACATATTAGAGACCTGATTTATTTTCGTAAATGGATGTTAGTAATTCCAATATTCATTGATGTTAAATTGTAGTAAACTAACATAAATAAAATAAAAGGACATTCACAAGTGAATGTGAATAATTTACTTGGGTTCTGGATTGTTTGTTGTTAGCACAACACTTGAGCTGTTGATGCTTGGTGCCAGCTGGAGCGTGTCATGGTTTATTAGTTAAGGTGTGGAGGAGATTCATGACTTCTATGGTACCTCTTGCTATGCAGGCTGTTTGGAAGTGATACAGTCACTTCAGTAATCTGCTAACTGACAATTCATAACTGACAATTACAAGTGTATAGGTAACTTTTTAGTGTTTAAAACCAGAGTATATAATGGGAAGAAACAGTGAAGAACCCTGTACAATGTATTGGAAAAGGGAAGGTGATAATCATCTTTTAAGGAAAGCTGTTTGTATTCTACCTGCAAAACCAGTAAAACAAGGAAAAGGAAAGCAAGACCAATATTCAGGATTTTCTCTTGAGCAAAAAAATAGCAACAGTTTGATATGAAAATGATAAAGCTAAAAAACTTAGTTTCTTTATCTGCTTAACAATTTAAAAAAAAAAAGTTTGCTAACAATAGTGTTGCTGCATGCTCAGGAAGAGAAATTATGTCTCTCAGCCCCTTCTGTTGAACCTTTGTAAGGAACTAAAAATATAACTCTCCTGAAGTATTGACAAAGCTGAGGTCCCATCTGTCTGGTGATTTGGGTGATCATCTTTACCATATGCTGAATGTGAAAAGGTCTGTGAAATCTTCTCTGGGATTATATAGAGCTCTAAAAATTCTGTTTTATCCAAAGTAATCCTTTCTGTGTCATTGCTAGTCTTTTTATCTGCAACTGTTTAAAGTAACTTGATGCAAATAACTGTTTCACTATCATTTCAAAGTTAGTTCCTCTTCTAAAACTTCCATTTCAGTTTTCTAAGTTTTACTAGTTTATAGAGCAGCTTTCCCATTTGGAATCTCATAAATAGGTACCAGATTTTGATAACTTTTTCCTGTACTTTCCTTGTTCTTTGCTTTTTATTCTTCGAGTTTTTTAAAAAAATATCTTGATATTTTTGATCAGAATCAAGAATATAGTTTTCCTAGTATTGAATAGTTTTTGTCAAACTACTTTTATTGTGACATGGCAGTTTTAGGGTTGCTGCTTGGACATCTCATCACTGAAAGCAGTCTTGTAGGTTCTATGTTAAATGTAAGAGTTTCACACTTGATCACATTCTCTCTGTAAAGAGAGTCCTTTGATATGACAGTTGCTTTTCCAAATTTTAAAATATTAAGTGTTAAAAAGCTTTTGAATCACCAGGATTCCCTTGCAGTGAAAACTCTCCACTGCCTGCTCGGCTGCAGACAGTGCGGAGCAGAGGGTGACCACACGGGACTGACCAGTTACAGCTCCCTTCAGCGGCGGAGCTACTGTGGATGGTCGGTGTGTGCGCTGAGGGTGCAGCGGGGGCGGTTCACCCCGTGTTGCCCTGCAGCCGTGCCCCCGAGGCGGGCTGTGCCCCCCGAGGCGGGCCGTGTCCCCAGGGCGGGCTGTCCCCAGCCGTGTCCCCGAGGCGGGCTGTGCCCCCCAGGGCGGGCTGTCCCCAGCCGTGTCCCCGAGGCGGGCTGTCCCCAGCCGTGTCCCCAGGGCGGGCCGTGCAGCGCGGCGCGGTGCCGGCAGGTGGCGCTGCCGGCTCGGCGCAGCCGCGGGCAGCGCTGGCGCCGCAGCCTTGGCTCCCGGTGTTTCCAGGAGAAAGCGATACTTTCACAACACGCAAAACACACGGGAAAACGAAGAGAATAGGGTAGTCAAGCACTAAGAAGCAAAAGAATAAATATAGTCTTTAGTTAATTCCCCTCTGTGCAGGCACAATGATATATGATTTCCATGATTATATGCTATTTTGCCTCCATGAGATTCCCATCTTGTAATGTCCGGGATTTAGTTTTGCAAACTGTAGTAAAGGAGAAGGCCATTTTCTGTCACATTGCAGTGCTGTCTTTTGGAGTTGAATGCAATAACTAAAGTAAGACAATGAAACTCTGTTCCACAACGATTAGAGTTTGTGTGATGCTAGACTAGTCACCTCTATAGTACCTTTCACTTGGATAGTATTTGTGCCTCTGTGGGGAGGTGGTGTACAGCTTATGGTTCTGCAGGCTGATGTTGCTAAGTACTCAGTGTTCAGAGCTATATCTGGAGCTACTGGGAGCTTTGCTTTCAGTTGCTGGAGTGTTCTGGAAAAAAATGGATACCTCAATTTGGTAATTAAATAAGTATACCTGTATCTCTGTGCTTCAATTTGTCATTAAAAATAAAGCTAACTAATATATTCTTATTATGAAGGCTTGTTGGAGAAAGTAAATTTGTCTTTTTCTATAGATACTGTGAAGAATATCAAAGACTAAATTGATGAGTATGAAACCAGGTCTGTCAGGAGAAGTGTATCTTTCCTGTTTCATGCTATGCAGAGATGAAATACCTACTGAATATCATACTAGGAACTTTCTTCCAGGGTCTATAACAAAAAACCCAGCAGACAAACAGAAAAACTACCCTCATAAAAAAACCACCAAAACCAAAAGAACACAGACTCCCCCTCCAAAACAGCAACAAAAAACAACGACAACAACAAACCAATAAAAAAAAACCCCAAAACCAAAAAACTACAAAACCAATTAAAAAAACACCAACCAAAAAAAACCCAACCCAAAACAGAACCCCCCCTCCCTCCCCTCACAACCCCCTAAAGAAAATTAGGCTTCAATTTGTGACACAGGCACACCTCCATGAAGAACCTTTATGAGCTGGAGTCGCTTAACATCTCTTACAGTAACAGGTAGAGACTCTGTGCTCTCAATCTTTTTTAGAGAGGAACAAACCCATGTTTTGTCACTGTGGCAAATTTTCTAAAGCAAATGCTGAATCTGCTTTGTTGGCTTTCAGTTTATATGCTTGAGAAAAATGTCTTTACTCTTTTTACTTCCTTAAACTGACCTGCTGTATCATATCACTTCTCTTATTGCAGCCTCTCTCTGCTTGTCTGGTTGGTCTTGCTTTCCACCTGGTATATTTATTGTTAGTACTATTTACTCCTTCCAGTAATGTGTTGCCTTTTCTCATCGTCAGGATTCTCATGTAGTCTCTCTCCTTACCAGGTTAAGCTCTTAATTCTGATTTTGTTGCTCCTTCCCTTTTGTGTTTAGGTTCTTCAGTGGTCAAACTCACTGTTGTCATTACCCATCTCTCCATCCTGGTCTAATTTAATTATCTTTACTATTTTGTTTATAGCTATGACATTGAGTTAATATTCTTCTACATTTATGTTGTGCTGCATTCTGTTTTATGTTACTGTAAAGAGTCAATTTTCTGTAATACCAGAGTGGTTTGCAGAAGTTGCAAAAGGCAAATTTTTAAAGCTCTGAAGTGGAATAAAATATGTAGGCTTTCTGCAAATAAATTTCTAAGAGAATTAAGTTGTCAGATTAAAGTAAGTTTCTGTTGAATGTTTACAACTGAGACTTCTCATACTTGTAAATTCGCCAGCTATGGGAATGTGCTCTCTTGTGAAGGCAAGTAAAGCATCCATGACACCAGAATAAATGACAGTGCCAGATCTAAATAAATGATATCTTGGGAAAAGTCACTGTGGCTTTTGTAGAAAAAAGCTACATTTCAAGGAACTGAATTCTCAGCAGAGTCAATGAACATAGGAAGAAGACAAGGAAGT